GTTAACGGGTTACGGGTTCCGGGTTTCCGGTTACCGTTTACCGTTTCGTTCGGTACGACGACGTACGTACGTACGTACCGTACGTAGTATACTTACTTACGTAGAGAGAGAGAGAGAGAGAGAGAGAGAGTTCCCCAGGGCTGGGAGATTCACGTAATGGGAGGCCCGGTGGTCAAAACCAAGATTACCTATATAGAAAAGAATTTTATGGTTATAGAGAGTGACCTATGCATTTTGTTTGTTCAGGTCCGGTATGCCCCACAACTACCTTTAGTTTTGAGAGGCATTACATGTACATTCCCTGGAGGGTTGAAGACGGGGATTGTTGGTCGGACTGGCAGTGGAAAATCCACTCTCATTCAAGTCCTCTTCAGGATCGTGGACCCCGTCGGAGGCCAAATTCTCATGGATGGTATTGACATCTCCTGTATAGGACTCCATGACCTGCGCTCCAGACTAAGCATCATTCCTCAAGATCCCACCATGTTTGAGGGAACCATCAGAAGTAACCTGGACCCCTTAGAAGAGTACTCTGATGGTGAGATTTGGCAGGTGAGTTGTTAGATCCGTGCTTAGTTCATATAATTTTACTTGACCTTGCCTTTTGGTTTTCATGCAAAAATAAGTTTTGTTGGGCAACTATTTCCTAATTCAGGCTCTAGATAAATGCCAGCTCGGAGAGGAAGTCAGGCAAAAGGACCTAAAATTGGAGTCCTTAGGTGGGTTCTTTTTCTTTGTTTTGTTAACTTCATCCCTCTCCGTTACATGTCACTTCTAAGCGCGCACACACACACAAACATGCATCCTAATGTCTTATACAAGCAACCTTCAGAATATGAAGACAGCTTTGTGAAGTTTAGCTTCTCATGATGTATATATACATACTTTGCAGTGTCAGAGAATGGAGAGAACTGGAGTGTGGGTCAGAGGCAGTTGTTGTGCTTAGGGAGAGTGCTTCTAAAGAAGAGTAAAGTGTTGGTGTTGGATGAAGCAACTGCCTCGGTTGACACCGCAACTGACAGCCGTATCCAGCAAACCATCAGGAAACACTTCTCTGATTGTACTGTTATAACCATAGCTCATCGTATTGCAACTGTTCTTGATAGTGACATGGTCTTGCTGCTTGACAATGGTCAGTATAAATTTAAAATGCATTGCTTTTGTATCATGGAGTCATCTTCTTTTTAATGCTTATTCTAATACATTGTTTTTGAGCAGGCATTGTGGCTGAATTTGATTCTCCTTCCGTGTTGTTAGAAAACAAGTCTTCCTATTTTGCTAAACTTGTGGCAGAGTACACCATGAGATCGAGCACTTGTTCGGAAAAATGATCCATCTGTAGTGTGATTATGATATGAGGATGACGATGATGCAAATTCGAAGTTATTGGATGCACCCTGTAGGCAGTGTGCAATAAAGGAAGGTGTGAACTCAAGCACCCTTCCACAGTCAGATATGAACCTACAGTGCAAATGCTGATGGTCTTCAAATACTTGTTTTACCATTTTGAAAGTCAAGAGGGTTTTTTTGGTGTATAACGAAATGTTTCATTGCTTAGTCATATGTTTGAGAGAGCTCGTACCCTTAGTATTTTAAAGGATTTTTCAAAATAGTTGCTCTATTTTCCTTCTGTTGGTGTTTTTCAAGCTAAAGCAAAGTATGCTAAGTGAAGTTTTAAGTCTTATAGGATCTGGAAACAAGCCTCTCTATGGGTTTATGAGTGTGAAATTCAGTTAGCATTTAGCACCATGGGGACTTGGAAGAGAGATTTGGGGCTTCTGGGTACTTGAAGTGGGTATCACTAATTCACACGGCGGTTAATCTCAATGGCCTTACATAGAGACCTGACTTTGGACCATGATCAGACGACTTCTCGCTGCTATTAACAAAGAATCTCTTTATAACTGAAATTTAGTTCCACAGCAGTTGACATAAAACAATATTTTCTTCAAATATTCCCGAAGTGAACATGGAAGGTAGATCGGTGTGTGTTTATGTTTTAGGAGGCAGATCTGTGTGTGTTTATGTTTTAGGAGGCTCCTTTTGAGCATGCAACTTGGAGAAGATTTTATAATGCTCCACCTGGCTTGGTTGTATGAGAGAGCATTAGGAACCAATTGCATCTTGAAATTCCTAACACTTCGATGACCACCGGAGCATTTCATAACTCTCGGTCAATTTTTGAAGCAAATGGTCAACTTGGTTTCTGCAAAATTGAAGTTTTTACCTTGTTTGGAATCGTAAATTCTTTTTCAAAAGTTTGAGCAATAGTTATTTTTTTTAAACTAAAGTTGTACGACAGAGAAAGGCCATCTTACACTCTTTGATTCAGCTCTGTGCAAAAGTTTTGATTATGGGTAAGAACAATTTCCCATTTTGGCTCTTGCTAAGGAATGCCACTCTAACCGCTTGGTTTTTTTTTCTTTTTTTTTAAACTGTTAACCTTGTAGTAATTACAAAGTAGGAAAAATATCTCCATATCCCCTTATTTTAACTTCTATATCTCATGAAACCCAATAATTGAAAATATTACTTGGAAGCAAAAGGTATCCATATTTTCTATCTTACAGCTCCTTTAAACCCATTAGACCATGTATTATTGATCTCAACAACTTATAAAATAACTCTCTTCTTTCAAAACCTAACTTCTAACTAACTGTTAACCTACGCCCTCTCTCTCTCTAAACCTGTTGACCTACACCCTCCATTTATCTTTCTATCAGATAACCTTTTAAAGGCTCAATCCCAAAAGATATTGGCAAGCTAAGACAAATTTCTGGGACTTTAAACCTCTTCTACAATATATTTTCAGGTAGAATCCATGAAGCTTTAGGAAATCTCCCTATTTTGGTTAGCTTGGATCTTACCCACAATGACCTTCGTGGCTGGATTCTGGCCGCTGGAAACTTCGTAAACCAAGGACCAATTGTTTTTTTCGGAAACCGTAACCTGTACGGCTTCCCTTTAAATAAGCCATGTGAAGTTTCAGAGGTCGTAATTTTTGCCGGAAATTTGGCCGGAGCCGTTGCTCTCGTCATCTTGGCAATGTTTTTTTGCCATAAAAGTAGATAGGGTTGCCGGAAAAGTGAGAAGTGGGGAGAAAGCGGGGGTTTAAGGGTTATGGATGAAGGACCAACTGCTTTTTCCGGGAACTGTAACCCTTGCGGCTTCCCTTTAAATAAGCCATGTGAAGTTTCAGAGGTCACAATTTTGGCCGAAATTTGGTGCTGATTTTGGCAAAAATTTCAAAAGTTTCTTTAAATAAGCCAAAAAAGGTGACATCAAAGCGAAGGCAAGGCCGAATGGTACTGATTTTGGCCAGAGCCGCTGCTCTTGTCATCTTGGTAGCTTTTTTTTGCCATAAAAGTATAGAAGGTTGCCAGAAAAGTGAGAAGTGGGGGTTTAAGGGTTATGGATGAAGGACTAACTGCTTTTTTCGGGAACTATACTCTATGTGGCTTCCCTTTACATAAGCCATGTGAAGTTTTAGAGGTCGCGATTTTGGTTGGAAATTTGGCCAAAAATTTCAAAGGTCCTTTTAAATAAGCCATAAAAGGTGACACCAAAGCGAAGGCAATGCCCAATGGTGTTGATTTTGGCCGGAGCCATGCTCTCGTCATCTTGGCAGCGTTTTTTTGCCATAAAAGTAGAGGGGGTTGCCGAAAAAGTGAAGAAATGGGGAGAAAGCGGGGGTTTAAGGGTTATTGACGAAGGGGTTGTGTATGCTTTGGAGAGGGAAAACGAGGGTTTGTGTATAAAGTGGCGGTGGCAGACGAGGTGGTGCTCGCGGTTGAGAGAGTGGCGGATGGTGGTGGCTAAGTTTAGAGAGAGAGAGAGGGAGAGACTGAGAACTCACGGTTCAGAGAGTGGCGGATGGTGGTGGCTAAGTTTAGAGAGAGAGGGAGAGATCAAGTGCTCGCGGTTCAGAGAGTGGTGGATGGTGGTGGCTAAGTTTAGAGAGAGGGAGAGATTTAGTTTAGAGAGACAGTTGGTGTATGTTAGAGGTTAGGTTTTGAGGGAAAGGAGTCATTTTATAAGTTGTTGAGGTCAATAATACATGGTCAAATGGATTTAGGGGGTTGTAAGATAGAAAAGATGAAGACTTTTTTGCTTACAAGTAATATTTTTAATTTTTAGGTCTCATAAGATATAAAAGTTAAAAATAAAAAATAAAAAGATATTTTCTCTATAAAGTACACAATATAAAAAAAACTCTCCAACGCACCGGCGCAATTTTAACAGCTTAGATCGGTTCCTAACCAAATTTTAACCGCCGTTAAAGATTGGTTCTTGTTGAGGCTCTTAAGAGGCCTAGAGCCGGACCTTGCTTTAAGAGAAATGATGGACGTGGATAAAACCATTAGCAGTAGATGTCAAAAGCCTCTTGAAAAAGGAAACGGCCCGTAGGAAGAGTCATTATTTCTCTCTATGGTGGATGTAGGCCGAAAGGGAGAACCACTTGTGGCTCATGACAGATGTAACCCGTGAGGGTGAACAGTGTCAATTCTTGTACGTCCGGGTGAATCACAACAATTCTTGTTTGCCCCATACTTTCTTTGTCACGCTTTTGTTTTTCATTTCTTCAAACACACTTAAACATAGCGTTTGATATTTGCTTCAAACGACTCTATTGCCCACATCTGCATTGAAGTGAGTGCTTTGGCTATACGCCTATCATTAGCAATACCCGTTACTCTTTTCAAACCGACGTGGGGAGCCGAAACAAGCACTGCATCATCTGTCTTCAATCATCTGGAAAAATCTAAGACTATTGGAACCATATGGAGAAAAACTTCGGAAAAGTTTCACCCTATGTGGGACCCATTGTTTTAAAAATTGTTGGGACCAAGAACACCTGGTCCAAACGAAATTGTCGGTTTGGATCAAGAACACCGGGTTCAAACCCATCAATGTTTAGGGAAGCCTGGGGTCACTCAATTTCCTCAGGCTTTTAATGATTTTTTATTTACACATCAATATTGAGAATTGTATCAGTCGAATTGGGAATCGGTTCCTGGTGACTCCGAGCACGGATTTTCGTAGCCCTGGTTGGGCCTAATTGGGATAGTGGTGAGAAAGCCTATGAGACTTTTACCTCTTCTGTGGGTTCCACTGCAATAAAGGCTAACACCCAATCATCAATGGCCATTGCTCATCGATGCACTCCCTACTTTTCTTCCCCATTTGCTGACCAGCCAAGGAAAACAACCATTGGCGCTTACCAAGTTTTGCAATTAAACAATTAATCTTTTTGAATTCTTCCGCATCCCTTTTTAGATATCTAAACTTTCGAGTGTTTTATATGATTACCGCACATCGATGAAGTTGAAGGGAAAGTTTTATAGGACGACTGTAAAACCAACTTTGCTCTATAGCGCAGAATGTTGGGCGGTAAAAAAATAATATACCCATAAAATGAATGTAGTGGATATGAGGATGTTGATATGGATGAGTGACAAGACAAGAAAGAATATAATTCAAATTGAATACATTCGAAAATGTAGGCACCAATAGGCAATAAGATGTGAGAGAGTAGACTTATGTGGGCTGACCATGTGTGGCACAAACCCAGTACAACACTTGTTAGGAAGTGCAAGTTAATTCAAGTGGGACACTATAAATAGGAAAAAAATAAACCCAAAACATATTGATAGAAGTAGTGAGAAAATATATGGGAATTTAGGGTCTCACCGAGGGTATGACCTTTAATAGAGTATAATGAAAGACTAAGATTCGTGTAGCTACACAATTAGGTGTAAAAAGCATTGAAGATTACGATGACAACATTATTTTGTTAGCTGTTTGGCACATACCTAGCTAGCATTATCTATAATATTATTTAAGGGAAATGTTTATATAAGGTTGCACCCCTAAAATGTAAAATCACAGATGCACCTCAAAAATCTATCAGAAATGTTGTTTTAATGTTGAAAAAACCCTCCAATCGATCATCTCGATATCGAGATACATGAATATGAAAAAAACGAGTTTATTAGTCCTGAAAATAGTGCATCTTGCAACACAATATCTAAACCGTCCATTTTAAAGATTTTCATAT